TGAACAACAAAGTCTGAACTACCCTCACTTTATCACCCTAGTTACAAGCAATCAAAAGGGGAAATTATTATTACACACACTAGTCAGATAAAAAAAATCTCAATGGACACATCAAAATCATAAGAAATCAAGAACATTGCATACAAAAAAACCAAAGAAATCAGCAAGGCAAGTAAAAACTAATTTATGGACCAGCCAACCAGCTGATAAGGTGAAAAATTAACTTAATAATTAGTGATAAAAATACATATTTATGACGAGTAGCTTACGTCATTTCCACCCATTAAAGGAACAAGAAATGAAGGAATCATCACAGCAGTCCCTAATGCCAATATATAATGCTGAAATCCAAGTGCTATAGCCTCCCCTGTTTAACACACACAAATAATCAAACACTTTGCATACTAACAAACAAGAATTCAAAAAGAGAGAGAGAGAGAGAGAGAGAGAGAGAGAGAGAGAGAGAGAGAGAGAGAGAGAGAGAGAGAACAAGAACAGAATAAAATGGCATACCCCAAGAAGGGTTAGAATCAATACAATACTCTAAGCCCTGAAGTTGGTCCATTGGGGGATGACTTATGTCTTCCTCTGGTTTTGGAGCAGCCATTGTACACACTAACTTCAGCTCTCCTTACACAACTCTTTTTTCCTCAATCTATCCAAAAGGGCCTTCCCCAAATTAGTTAATCAAGCAAAGGGTTAACGCTAACAGACAAACAAACAACAAAAAGAAAATGAAAAAGGCTTGGTCAGAAGTAATGGGGTCCGACTAATTACACACAAAACTCGATAAAAAAGTGAAGAAAAAGCAAAAGGAGAAGAAAGAAATCAATCACCACAAAAAAAAAGTTGAAAAAAAAAAAGTTAAAAAAAACGAGCCAATGTGAATGAGACTGAGAGAGAGCAGCTGAAGGCCACTCAAAAAACAGAGGCTTTTTGAACAGAAAGGATTTATTTGCTTCGTTTTGTAAGTTCGCCTTTTTTGACAGGGAAAATGCAAACGTTAACTTTAGAGTGAAGTTACAGAATTGACCCTTAAGGAACTTCCAAACGATATGTTACCGTTGCATGCTGGCTTTTCTGGGCTGTCATTCCGAGAAAATGTTAAGGTCCCGTTACAGAATCATTACGTCTGGATTTGTAAGCTAATTGATTAACTATCTTCAACGATTATATGATGATTTAAAAATTACAAGTACCGACGAATTGGTTCCGTAACGGCGATTGTAGCATTTTCCATTAATTAATAGATCTCTTTTTTTTTTTTTTATGAATAGTTTATTTAGTAAGTTACGAGATTAAGGAGATTAGGAATTCTCCAATTTATATTTTATTTTCTTTTTTATAATTTCAAATGAAAATAGTGAGTCAAATTTATCATAAGTTTATGGGGAAATGTAATGGTCGTATTACGGAACTATTCTGTCGGAGTTCGTAACCGTTAGATCATCATGTAATCGTCGAAAATGGTTGATCTAACGGTTACAAACTCGACGAAATGATTCCGTAACGTGATCGTAGCATATCCCTGACTTATTATCATGGACATAGTGAAAATAGTTGGTATTTACCTTTGTTTGTCAACATAAAATATAGATATAATTAACTGAAATAGAAAATATTTGAATTAGATTATGTATGTAGATTTTGAATCTGTATACCAATATTTGGAAGTCATACACACATATAATTACAATAATAATCTAACCTAACTAATATTTGAAATGCACACATATTCTAAGAGCATTTTAAATAACTAGTTAAATGAACCTCTTTAATTGTACTTATAACAAATTCTTTTTTTTTTTTTTTTTTTT